AGCTAAGATTGAATTGATTTCAGTGGTGGGAGAGATTACGGCAGTGTTTCTCAGCCTTGGCAACTTGAAGACGTGTGGACTTCAACTCCCAGAATTCCCCAGCCAGCCATGCAGTCCACACGTCTTCAAGTTGCCAAGGTTGAGAAACACTGGTTTAGGGTGTTGGACTGGGAACAGTGAAACATAGTGGAAGACTTTGGGCCAGCAACTCTCCCGCTCACTCCCTTCTTCCTCTCCTGAGCCTGCCCTACAGAGTTGTTTGGGGGATAAAGTTGGAGGAGGGATTATTACATACACTACCTTGAGCTCCTAGAGGAAAGACAGTCTATAAAGCTAATAAAGCTAGTAAGGAATGCCTGGTTCTGGGTCTTGGCTAATGTTCGGTTCAAGCAGCTGTGATAAAAGGCCAATAAAAGGAAGAGGTCAAGTGGGTAAGATGCAACTTCAGTTTAGTCGTTCCCAGCACTTTCGGATCTAGCAGTAAAGCAAAGATGAGTCAGCACCATGGTAACCCCCTTGGGTTCACCACGTCACTTTTGAAAACGGCACAGGAATCCGTCTTGAGCAATGCAGCCCTCCATACATCTCCAAGAGCAGTGGACGTCACTGGGCTGTGCAAGCTGGCTTTGACTCACTGGCTCCGTGCTGCGCAGGCCAAGCCGTTTGCCTCACTCAGGTGCAGCGATGGTGCAATTCCCCTCGTCAAGACAGTCCGTGTCACTCTGAGGGCTTCCACTGGCACATCCAGTATCTGGAAGAGCCACCTACTCTTGCACAAAACATCCACCAGCCCAGTACTCCAGTGACAATCAGGCTGTCCAAGAGAGGGGGGACAAGAACTTCTTGCAATGTGGTTCCATGTTCCCACTATGATGGAGCAGCTGGATCACGTGGCCAGCTTGGGTCCTTCTCCTGTGGCCACTCTTTGTTGAGCAGGGATAGAGAACACAGCAAGCGGGCACCCTCACCACAGAGCTGCTGCCCTGTTGGGCCATGCTCAGTTCCTCTTGCCTCCAGTAAAGCCATTTCTGATCACAAGGTCAGCTGGTGTAACGGTAGGTGCGAAAGACCTTGGGAGACAGGCCGAGAGATGCTGCCAAAGGGATGGTCAGATAAGAGACAGCACAGCCCGCAGCTGCATAACGGGTGGGGCAATAGGCTCAAAAGAGACCCTCCCTAGTTTCTTGGGCTATAAAGGAGCCTACTTTCAGACTTGCAAGATTCTATTAATGTAGCCTTACAATAAAGCAGAATTAACTTACCAGGTCATGTTTCCTGTCTGGTCTACCTGGGAAGGCTGACAGCTAGGTTTTATGCTGTTGTGAAGCCTCCGTGAGCACCATTTGTGCTTCCCATGTGCTGGCTGGTAACTTACTTCCGAATTTGTCTTTTATTTATCGCCTTGCTACCCCACCTTTCCCATCAGAGGTTTTAGACAGAATGTGAATGTGGGTGGGACTTCTCCTGAGCCCGGTCTTGGTTAAGAGAATAAGCAGCTGTTTCGGTATGTCCTCAGAAGCCTGGGCAGGTAAGGGAAGACATGACAGCAAGGCTTTCGCTTGTCTGTGACGCCTCCCAGGGGAACAGGAATTGTTGCTCTGAACTAGCTTGGACCTCAAGGGTGAGCCAGCTACAGCTTGAACAGGGGCAAGCGTTAATGAACTGAGACATATAAAGTATATGTATAAAGAAAAAATATATCCGACACTATTGTCAAGATTTCTGAACACATAGCAAATGCTGAAGGGCTCTGAGCAAGATGTACAAAATTCAACCATAATATAAACAATTAATAGAAAAATTAATGATATAGGTAAAGAATTTATTATATACTACATTTAGCAAAGTCTCTTTTTTTAATTAAAAAAGCTTGTGTATGTGGGCAATATGTATCTATTCCCACTTACCAATATGCATCATAATCATGAATGTCTTGGTTTAAATTAGAAAACTTGCCTTAGATTAGCAAAAATGCCATTTCTCGGTGAATCAGAGTACAGGTAGTCCTCGCTTAATGACCACGATAAGGACCTGAAAATTCATTGTTAAGCGGGGTGGTTAAGCAAGTCGCGCCTGATTTTACGACCTGTTTGCAGTGGTCATTAAGTGAATCATGCAGTTCCCCATTGATTTTGCTTGCCAGAAGCCAGCTGGGAAGGTCGCAAATAGAGATCATGTGACCCCAGGGGGTGGTAAGTGCGAGCTGCAGGGGTCATAAGTGCAAGCTGGTTGCCAAGCACCCGGATTGTGATCACGTGACTGCGGAGGTACTGTGATGATTGTAAGCGCGAGGACCAGTTGTAACTCCCTTTGTTCAGCACTGTTGTAACTTTGAACAGTCACTAAACAAATGGTTGTTAAGTGAGGACTAGCTGTAGCGCCTCATTGGGTATCCTGAGAAATCAGTGCACATCTAGATTAAGTGATTTGTCCAGAGTCACCACATTCTGGACACACAGCATCACGGAGCAGACCCTGAATCTTTCCTTTCTCAGCAGGTGGTCATTAGCCGGTGGAATTTCTGCTGGGGACAAAGCTACCGTGGAAGCCATAGGGGATCTGGACAGGGATTTCTGTGCAGCCCAGTTCGTTGAAATTCTCGGCATCCAGAATAAGCAGGAAGCTACCTTGATTCTGAAACAAAGATGGACGTTGGACAGCAGTTCCTAAGTGCAGTGCTCCTTTCCCATGCAAAGCATCTGTTTCCCGTGCCCTTTCAGGGGTTTAGAGAAGAAAGGTGAACCATAAGGAGACAGAGAAGCTCTAAAAAGCCTTAGCATTCTGAAGCCAAAAATGCCATGCAGTGTTCACTAGAAGGCATGAGGAATTCAATTTCAGCAATCTAAAAGCGATCTATTCAAAGAGTAGATCTTGATCTCTGCAGTGAAGCTTAAATTACCTGATTGGGTGTGAGCACCACCGAGAGTATCACTCCACTGTCTTCTGCTGCAGAGTAAGGTTCTGGCACAAACACTGGCTCAGAAGGATACATTCCTTTCTCATACCAAATCTGGTGGGCAAAGCAAAGGCACAGAAGAGGTTCCTTGTCATTAGCGTTAAAGGTGGAACCCCACCACCACCACCACCACAGTAACAACAGAGGAGCATCACTAACCCCTATCTTCTCACCTTCATCTCCTTGGTTTCTGTATCAATCTTGATCAAGGAGTCTCCAATGACATGCCCAAAGCCACAACCATAGAAATAACGGTATTTTTTTCCACAGTAACGTGCATAGTTGATCTGAGGGAATTCCAGGCCTCCTGCTTCTTGGAGGTCCTCATTGTATAGACTTTCAGGTGTGCACCAGATCTGGAAGAGTCAACTCGGAATCAATCACATTATAGAACCCCTATTCTATACCCCCAAGATCTACTATTTGGAACTGCGGAGTTTCTCAAGTGACCTTTGAGAAACCACTACTATATTTTTGGCCACTTCCACTTGCAGAGCAGATGGTCCCTCTCATGCCCTGGAAGCAACATCACCCCTTTCTGAAAAACATTTCCTTTTTCACAGAATTACACAACTGCACACAATTACACAACTGCACACAATTTCACAGAATTACACAACTGTACACAATCCTTGGGTCCTTCAGTTTCATCCCCTTTGAAATAGATAGCAGCTTGCTAAGAGGTGAATGTTTTTCTATCTTAACTAGGAAATGCCACATCCTCCTTGCAGTTCTGAGTATTTGTTGCACTGCTGGCACAGAAACTTGGAGTTAGAAAGGCCCTGGAGTCCAACCCCCCTGCTCAGTTCTGCAATCAAAGCATACCCAATGGCTGTCTTGCTTCTGCAGGAACATATTTAACCCACCACCACCTCTCTGAGCAATTTTAAAATCTTGATTTTAAGAGCAATTAATAAGGGAGGAGGGGAGTCTCTTGCGTGGAAGCCAGTTTACCATGAGCAGAGAGCGAGTGTTCCATTTCCAAGTTCTGAATGTCAGTCTCTAACTTTCTCATGCACCAGAGCATTAAATGAGTTCTGCCAGCAACAACAGAGTTTTGGCATGAGGCTCTTCCTCTTTAAACGTTCCGATCAGGAGCTGCTTTGGATGAGTTTAAGCTTCAGCCCACGATACCTTCGATTCAAGCTCACCGCAGCCTAATTTCCCTTGGCAGTTAGTCTTTGGGAAAATGGTCCCATCCATGCAAATGCAACCATTTTCCCCAAGTCTAGCTGCCTCCTGAAGGATGGTGGGACACTTTCGCTCCTTCTAAATTCCATACATCTCATAATGGGATATGTTTTGACAAAGAATTATTCCTATTTAATGCATTAAAAACTAGCACCTA